CAGGGGTCGACTTGGTACTGTACAGTGTACACGGGTGTGGTAAGGTCTAGGGATCGAGCCCTGAGATCTGCATCTGCTACTGCTAACTTAAAGGTGAAAACCGTTTCAGTCTGGGTGGAATAGGGGAAGTTATGGTGATATTTTATAACACACACACACACACACACACACACACACACACACACACACACACACACACTGTGACACGCACACACACACACACACACACACACACACTGTGACACGCACACACACACACACACACACACACACACACACACACACACACACACACACATGCATGCTGAGTGGGTGCGTAGTGGGGCTTTAATGACTGTGTTGACTAGTTTTTCATACTAGGTCTTCTGTTCTTGTCAGGGCTTTGGATTGCAGGGTTGATGTGACCCAACTTCACCATCGTGACGTTCCGTCGTTAACTCTGCATGAGGTGGTGAGGCCTTATCCATCAGTCAATAAGCATTCTGGGCAGACTTATCGCTCTAGGGTGCAGGTTTGCACCCCAATATATTCTTTCAAGTTTTAAGAAAGAAAGAAAAGACAGACTGGCAGTAGTGGTGCTCCTGGCGGTTGTAGACTCGTGGATCGATGTAGACACCACTGATCCATCTCGTTTCACAACATAGGCTCCAGGCGGCCTCGTGGCCCGCGAATCTTCTCCTGTTCTGCATAGTATGCAATGCTTTTCAGGCAACTTGAATGTGGAGGGGTGGTGTTTATACGTCAGCACAGGTAGGAGAGTCAACGCAAGGGAAGGACAGTCCACGCAAGGGCAGGACAGTCAGGAGAGTCGACGCAAGGGCCAGAGCGAAATGACTTATGATTGCTCTTGACCATCTACTGTGGGTTGGTGTAAAAGGTTTCTTTCCGGCTCCCTTTTTGATGTCACAGTGTCGAAGTGCAGACTTTAGTGAAGAGGGGTGTGTCCCAGAAGGCTTATCGGGCGGGATCCGGAAAGACCAATATAATGTAAGGGATGACAATACACTGAATACAGACAGCTTTCTCATCAGTACTGTGACAGACAAAAAAATTGCCAATGCATGTGGACATAGATGCAATGACAGGTGTAATCCCACCACGTTAGTTGTAGGAGAGTGAGTACACAGACAAATCAGAATGCAATGCATGCAAAATTAGCCCCAGATGCAAAGAATGCATCAGCACTGTCATGTCAGCCAGTCATGTCCGCAACATTCCTCCAATCACCTTGCAAAGACATAGATCGTCGTTAAGAATCTGACCAGATTCACCCGAACATGCACTCGTGCGAGAAGACTTGCTATTACTACAAGACAAGGCCAGCGTTTCCAAGCGCAAACGTTTGAGAGCAAAACCGAAGTCACATCTGATTCAGAGAATCCAATTTTTGAGTCGAACGCAAACAAATGTCACGTCAAAGCTCATCCTTCTTCCTTCCAGTGGCTTACCCTGCATATGCCTCGTTTTGATCGCCAACATGCGCGATCCTCATCCGGGGGCTTCCCTTCGTTCCACTGAGCCGACTCACCAGAACCGGACGGCTGGCAGTGCAGAGACAGATAAGGATTGTATTACTTTTGCATCTCGTTCTCACTAACCCGACACTTGCTAGTAGATTCTTTGTGGTCCTACCATAATGGCACCGCCGTCTGACAGCTGTACTTTCCTGTATCGTCGTTCGGGAGCTGCCAGGTGTTCGCATCTGCTATTTTGTCCCCTAGCTCTACTCAGACGGTCTGATATCCATATCAAATCTGCCCGCGGCTAGGCGTGTGGCCACACTTAACTTTACTTTTCCCAGCTACTCTGCACTACCCAACAGGACTGTAACAGACAAAAAGTACGTCTGGCTCCCCACGCCCGTTGGGACTCGCACTCCACCTGGCTACTGAAACAGTTCCAGCCGCAGGCAGCTTCGATATGGATATGATGGATATCAGATTTGATATCTATATCAAATCTGCCCGCGGCTAGGCGTGTGGCGCCACTTAAATTTTCCCAGCTACTCTGCACTACCCGACAAGACTAACATTTTTCCCAAAAAAAAAAAAAAAAAAAGAAAAGAAAAATAACCGAACAAGACAGTATTCTTCTACCGATCCTTTCTCTTGCAGCACCGAACACCGGCCCTGTCGCCACAGGCTACAGGTGGCGGAACTGGATCTGCCGTACAGGAGCGGAAGTCTGCGAGATCCTATTGCCGCCCACACTGAACTGCAGCTGCAGTCGTTCCAGCTCGTTTCTGAATCAGGGAAATGTCGTCCAACCTACTTCCCAACGATCAGTTTTCTAAACTTCTTTCAAACAAATACGAACATGCCTGCTAGATCAGACATAATATATGCCCAAACATGCTATAGATAGCATAATCAAGGAAGGGGAGGAACCAGCAAAGACAAACCACGTGTCGAATCTACCAATCCTCGATTCAATAAACATACCTTAGCCAAATTAGTGATGAAGTCCCATAACCAGCAGTTACTGTACCGGTCCTGGACCATTTAATTTAAATTAGAAAGGACCAAGCATCAAACACCCTGAGGCTTCCTCTTCTACCCTCCCTTCCGTCGAAGGAAACGTAGGTTCGATGTGACAGTTGTGTTTTGTACAGGTTCGTCCATCTCGTACAAGCATACTTGCAAGCAGACGGACCGGACGAGCGTCCGGTCCGGTCCGCTTTGCCGCGTGCGGCACCCTCCCCCCGGACCAGACGGACCCGGACCGGACGGGGGCGTTTTTTTTTTTTTTTTTGGGGTGGGGCGTAACTGGTCGTCGGGCGCACATTCGTGCGCTGCCCGGGTCCGGTCCGGCGGTCTGCCGCATGTGCGGAACCGTCCAGACGGCATCCGCTTGCAAGTATGCTTACAAGAGCTGGGCAAAACAGCTACAGTATTCTCGGAGAGCCTCGTTTCCTACAACGTGCCATCCACACTAGGTCAATCACGGAAGTGGCCATCATCAATCAGTGGACACAGAGACATATGTCCTGTGCAAGGCTCCTTCGATGTACTAGGCAATCTGAAAACATGCATGCTGTCTTCTCCTCATATGGGGGACAAATGCGTTTACTATGTGCTACGTTCTTCTCTCAATATTTTTCCATCTCACACTACCTACCTCGGGCTGTGTTCTCATACTGGTCTACCCACCTTCCGGACCTGCAAGGGGCATGGCAACCCAACCAGCAAAGAACCAAGCTCCACGTTTCGCAGACAGCTACAGGGTTTTAGGGTCGACGTCTACACGCTATGTATCCTGCGTACAACAGTAAGAAGACCAAGATTGTCTTGTCGTAACCAAGAATGCTGCGGCAATCTCGGTCTTTTTTTTTTTTTTTTTTTTTTTCTTTCTTTCTTTTTTCTCTCTTTTTCTTTTTTTCTCTTTTTTTCTCTTTTTTTCTCTTTTTTTCTCTTTTTTTTCTCTTTTTTTCTCTTTTTCTTTTATCGTTGTACGAGGTGTAATCCTCGCCTGCCAGGTGAATGCCACCCTCCTACGTAGGCTGGCCTGAGCAGAATTTTCTGTCCTCCTCCCGTTGCGACGCATGCTTTTCGCTGCATCACCACAAGCAATGTCGTCGAAAATTTCACGAACAAACAATGCAGGCTCATAATACAAACATAAAAAAGACAAACAGGCACAAAAAAAAAAACCGAAAAAAAAACAACCTCAAAACTTCAAAAGCACTGAAAAACCCTGTTCAGAATAGCTTTTGGAGTTTAACTTCGCCAAACTTTTCTCCAAATTCGGTGTTTGGGCACAGCCTCGTACTCGCCAAGCACGAGGTAGACTCCTGGACACACAGAAAAGACAGCAAACAGAGCAGAACAGACTCAGGCTGGAAAACCTCAACAAATAAGGCGGCCCGCTCACCACCACCAGGTAAGGGCTCTCATGCCCCACTCATCCCTCAACTTCCCCCACATCGTCCCCGTCACCCAAGGACCACCGCTCCTCCTCCCAGGCTTTAGTGCAGGCAGCCTGGCTATGGCTGCCTTGCGTACACTGCTCCCACACAGCTTCCTCCTTGAAGTTCACACCTTGCCAGCGCCCTTCGTCATCTGCCGGACCTTCGTCCAGCACGCCAGCGCCCCAGCAGCGCTGCCGCCGTCCAGCCAGCCAGAATGTGTCAACGTGAGAGAGCTCACTTCCTTTTGTGCTTCTGGCTGACTGCGCGGGGTATGCTCTGGATGCCTGGCCTCTGTCCCAGTAGCTGCGCCCAGGGACTTTCCAGAATGTGCCTGGGGATCAACTGTAAGTGCCCTGGGCCTCGGCATCTTTGCCTGGGCCCATTACCTTCAACCGATCTTGCCTACCGGTCGGTTGGAGATCCTACGTGCAGCAACCAACCCAAAAGGTCCTGCCTGCTCACACTGGCCTCAATTTCAGGCTCGTTCAATTTTCAGGGGCCCGCCTTCACTTAGGGCGGGTACATACAGTTTCCAGCGGGCGCAGGCTCTCTTTCCACCCTACGCCGAGGGCCTCATGCCTTGCATTGGTCACAAAGACTCACAAACATGCGGAAATCTCAGATCTCAGATCTCGGACTGCAAACGTGTGCTTTCATTGCAGTCAGTCTGCGCTTTGGAACTAATTGGGGGCCTTCGTGGCCATAAACATCACCACAGTGCAGATCTGGCTGTAATTGCATCCAGGTCACTCACGGCAAGTTCTAATACAGTAAGTGCGAGTTTGTCGTGGAATGGCTTAATGAGAAATTGAAACTGAAGACATCAAATTTGGGATTTGCTTCAAGATATGCCATCCCCCGCTTCTTTTTTTTTTTCTTTTTTTTTTCCTGTTTTTTTTTTTTGGTCGAGGGGGAGATTTGGTTCAGCGTATTACGCCAACTCACTTCCGTCATGAAATTGTTTAAATTTCTGTTTGTGGTGTGCTTGGGCAGTTGCCAGCCTGCCACTTCTGCCGGCTTGACCTGCATCGGGGCTTGTCGGGCTTGCTGCTCAGTGCAACAAAGGTCGCCGATAGTCGACCGACTGTCGAGTCGCGACCTGAAGGAAGTGACTGTTAGTTAACTGACGGAAAGGGAGGCATGGGCTTGTCGACTTCCCGGGTCCTTCTTTGGACCTGGATCTGCATCCTTGTGATGTTTGTTGGTTCAGAGACGACCGCCTGTCACAGTGAATGGTGCCGTCGTCAGGAGGGAAGCAGCAACTTGAAGGGGGGTGGAAGAAATCTCCAGCAGCAACTGGGCTTACTCGAGATCGAGGATAAAGCACTCCTTGCGGATGGGGTGGACCTGATCAAGCACAGAGGGGACAGATCAGCGGACACAGTGTTCGTCATCCATACTGTCGCCTTGTCATCGGGCGACTCGGAGATGTTGGACACCATTTACTACACTGAAAGCAGTGTACAGCTGGTTAACCATACTTGGTACAGTGAGCAGCCAACGGCGAAAAAGATCGAGTGGTCGAAGGAGCTTGGATTCTACAATATCTCCGTCATCGGCGGTCCGTGGTCAAGGCGAGTCGACAAGGACATAGCGCGTTTCAACTCCACAGGGCTTTCGGGCCTCATTGTTGTGAATGCTGAAAGGTTGATTGTGTCTGAGACGTTGAATGATCGCCTGATAGCGCTCGATCTCAAGAATGGAACGACGTTTGAATTCACAACAAAGCTAAGGTATCCGCTTCAAATAGCAAAGCATCCGCAGCGCGAGACGTTCTTCGTGTCGATGAGAGATCGCATCCGCGAAGTACCGCTAACAGGGCCAGTAGATGCGAACACGATCCGTCGGGTAGCAGGTCCTAACGGGCGGGACGATAAAACAGGTTTCGCTGATAGCCGTCTGTTTGACACAGATGCCAGGTTCGACATGCCGATGATTGCGCCACAAGCGGTATCGCGAAATGGTGCATGGTTATATGTGGCCGATTATTTCAACAATGCAGTGCGCCGGGTGGACCTTGCTAAAAGCACCACAGAAACCATCGCTGGAGGCACCGGTAATCTCACTTTCGGCGGGGACGGACGAGGATTTAACAGGACAAGCAGCGTAGCGCTGACTTCTAATGCGTGCAACTTGTTTGTCTCTGAAGACGGAGGGATGATCCACTGGCTCATCTTTGACAAGCCTTCAACCAACGCCAGCAATAGAACAGTCGTGGCGACCTTGCGGAGACCAGACGGGTCGCCAATAGCAATAAACGCCCTTGCACTTACGAACAACGATCGTTTCCTGTTTGCCGGCACTGGCGACGGTCAGATCCTAAGGCTCCAGCTGAACTCCTCTGCTCTCCATCAGTGTCACAACGACACATCGGATTCTGATGGTTCGTCGGCTCGTCCTGGTAAGTCGGTGAGTGATGAGAGAAGAAACATTCTTCTCTTCGGCATGTGTGTTGGCCTGGGGTGTGCACTGTTCATCTTGTGTGCAATTCTAGCCGGTATGTACGTCATGACTTCCTTCAGCCGCAATGAAAGTCCCTTGTCGAAGAGTTCGCTCAGGACGGTGAACTTATCCGACGGTACGACGGGAAGCCATGATGGGAGGGATACCTCTCAGTTATTCTTTGCCACCATCTCAACTTCGGAACCTACCCTCAGTGCATCGAAGGGCAGAGTCCCGGGGAGTGAAAGTGCAGAAACAGGCATTAAAAGGTCCCCCCGATCGCGCGCCGTCGCCAAGACCAGTGTCTGGGAATTCCAGCTTTCGGTCCTCGATTATGCAATCGCCAGCGGGCATCCACTTAACGGCAAGGGTGGCGCGTACGGCGACGTATACAAAGCGTGCTTGCTGATCAAGGGCAAAAGCACTGATGTGGCCATCAAGGTCATGAGAGGTGAATTCAACAGGGTCAAGCACAGGCAGTTCAAGACAGAAGTGAACACGCTTATGAATGTGCAGCACAAGAACCTGTGCAAGCTATTGGGCTACTGCGCGGAGGAAAACAAGTGCATTCTCGTGTATCCATTCATCGACGGTGGATCCCTCTACGATCGATTGCATGCCTGTCGTCACGTGCGCAATGCAGTGCTGCCGCAACATGAAGGTGGGGGACTGGATGCCGAAAGCCTTGAGCCCTTTAATTGGCAGGAGCGGATGCTCATCGTGAAGCAGGTAGCGAGTTGCTTGCGGTACCTGCACGACGAGCTGGAGCAGCCAATAGTGCACCGAGACGTCAAGACGGCAAACATCCTCGTACGGGGGAGGGGAACGAGAGTGCATGCGTACTTGAGCGACTTCGGGCTCGCCAAGCTGAGAGACGTCAGCGATGACGATACCAATCCGCACACGACGACTGGTCATACGACGTTGCCCACAGTGACGACATCCGGCACTCCTGGCTACATGCCCCCCGAGTACTTGCTGGAATCGAGACTGACGATGTCAAGCGATGTTTTCGCACTTGGGGTTGTGATGCTTGAGCTCGTCACCGGATTGAAAGCAGTGATCAGATGCACAGAAAACGATCGCCTCGCCCTCTACTCGTGGGCTCGGCGGAGGCGGGCATACAACCTGGAGACTTACGTCGATGAGAGATTGGCAGGTTCGTTATCCAACGTCGAATGGCATATGGCAGGGGAGGTCGTCGAGCTAGCTCTCTGGTGCACCGGGGATCGTCCGTCCAAGAGGCCCTCCATGTCAAGAGTTGTCCATGAGCTGGAGAGAATCATCATGCAAGAGGAAGGTAAGCGCTGACACAGATCTGGAATGGGGCCTTGCAGACGGGGGGGGTAAGTTCCACCTGCAACTGATCGTCGTAAGCCAATGTTGCTCCCAAGGCCCCCCATCATTAGAGGAGATTCACCCCTGGTCTGCAATGGGGCCGGGGGCTCCGACTCCTCTGAGTGTACAGGTATCATTCTGTGAGGGGCTCAATTGATCTTTACAGTGCTTACACCCCATGAGTGCACCTACAGGAGTGAAGTTGGGTTATGAACCGTGACTACCTTCGACCACCTCGTCAGGTTACCAGGAGGCGTGGGCTTTTTTCCCAGTTGGGGGGGAGCTGGGAGGGGGTGTGGGGGCTGGTCCGTGTCCATCGGTGCGTCGGAACGACAATCTGCGAGCCACAGATTCTCTTCCTTCCTGTTCGCAGGAGATGGCTTTTCCTTCTGACGTTTTTTTTTTTTTCGCTCCGATATTTTCGCCGGAGGTAGTTGAGTGGATAGATAGTGTTACACTAGGTTGTGGCAGCAGCCTGCAGGTATTGAATCTGAGTGAGTCAGCATCTTCGCTCATTTCTGGGGAACATCAACGGTTCGAATCAGAGATCGGTCCCAGTAGTCTGAGTAGTGGACATGTGAACGACCCCTTCTCTAGCACCTTGACGTTCGCAGTTTAACTTAGATTTTTTGCGGTGAGCAGCAGCAGTGCAGTTCTCCAGCACCTTTGTAGTCAGACTCTGTAGTCAAGAATCCTGTAAGTGAGCATTTGCGCATCGAATGACAGTGTTATGACACTCATCAGTTGGCACAGAAAATAAGAGAAAGCCTCAGAAGCTTGGTAGTACTCAGACTCCGCAGTTGCTCTGTGAACTCTAAGTCGCCAGTCTCTAAGCTCGGTACGGTCAGCGAGTGTTCATGTATCCGATGGACGTCATCGGTCGACGGCCGGCACAGGAATCGGAAAAAGCCTTAGAAAGGCACGTACCTACCGCAAATGGGTTGCTGTCGAACAAATTAATCGGCAAGCCGAACAAGTTGCCCGAGCTTCTTGTTCGACAAACAAACAGACCTCAGCTGGGCTTCCTCGTAGTGTGCAGTGAGAAGGACCAGGTCCTGTGCAGTTCTCTAGCGCGGTCAGCGTAACGTTTTTCGTCTGCAGCGAAGAATGCTCAGTGTTGGTGCATCCGTGAGCAAGCATACCTCCACTGAAAAAAGCAGGACCCGTGCATCACTGAAATGGGAGAAAGTTGGATTGCCAGGCAATAATGAGACCGTTGAGCGCCAACACCTCCTCGTAGCCTACAATCATCATCATCATCATCATCATCATCATCATCAGCAGCAGCAGCAGCAGCAGCGGCAAGAGTGCAGTTCTCTAGTTCGTTCGTAGTCTGCATTGCAGCATCCTCAGCGAGTCAGCACATCAAAAAAAAAAAAAAAAAAAAAAAAAGAGTTGGACCTCGTCGGCAGATAAATGAAAGAGAGGCACAGACTGCACAATGATGGGGTTGAGGTTGAAGTATGTCTCGATGGAGAGAGCGGCAGACAAATCGAAGAAGGTTGTTGTTGTTGTTGTTGTTGTTG